ATGGAGGGCGGCTGTGAGATGGGATGTTTGGTGTTGATTAGAGAGTTCGTTAGAGTTCGGGAATTTTTGTGAGGGTCAGATTGGAGTGGGAGGGAGGGAGTTCAGCCGTGAGGGTGAAGGGGGTATGTAGGTAGATATAAGAATGGGATGTCGTCTTCTTTTTTTTTTGAGATTTTGAGATGTTGGTTGGGTTGGTGGGTGGATATTGTACGACATGATATACGGCACACGACATACGGGATACGGCATGGAGTGTGGGATGGATATGCTCTGCACGTTGGATGGACTACGGACAATGATCACGACGACAAGTGGGATATCGACTCTGGACTCTGGACTTTGGGGGCGATGAGGCTTGGTCGACTTAAGGATGGACGATATAAAGCTACAACACGGGGTTATCGACTGTTGACAATCGGCAATGGGGGATATCAACAATGTTGTTGAGGATGGCCACTTGCTTACTTCCTTGGCACCTACCTTACCTTACTACCTACCGACCTCCACGGACTCAGCATCAGCAACGCCACAACTTGAAGGACGCTATTCCACGGGTCCCTGGTTGATGGGAAATACTCAAAAGGGGGAGACATAAAGACGAAAGTTACCTACCCGGACCTAGGAACGCAAATTGGACTTTCTCCCTTGAGGTTCGGATCCCGTCTCGGAGCATCTGGCTCACTGACAACGGTACACAAGCCAGGCCACCTTTTGAAGGGATGGATATCAGCACTCCTTGGCAATATCTGGTTGTTCAAAGGAGGAGCCAGCCCTCAGGCAGCGAAGGAGCACCAGGATGTCATCTTACCTACTTGTTTCCCTACGTAGGTCCTCGCCTACTCTGGACCCTCCAACCCTGATATCAAAACTCCATCTCAGCTCGGCCTACCAAGGAGGACCAACATCCACTTTATCAACACTGCAATGCCCTGCCCAAGTCAGCCCCGTTGGATAGATCCAAAGAGGAGTCGAAGAGGGAAAAAAAGACAAAAAAACATACAACACCAGGGATTCGCTGGTCGTCACCGACCCAACTACTGGTCTGGCGGTCGCTGGCTTGTCTATGGGAGAGCGGACGGGATCCCGAATTTTCCAGTGCCTATGGTCGTATGTATTTGCTGGGGCGTCGAAAAGGGGTTATGAAGATGTGGGTGGGTGTGGTGTTGAGGGTTGAGGATCAAGTTGTTACTTCACCTCGACTCTGTTTCGATAGTGATGTGGAGGGAGGGCTCTCTGAGGTGAGTTCTTTGCCGTTCAGGAGGTTGTGGTAAGTTGGTTACTTCGAATGGTGTGGTAATGCTAGTGTGAGATCGCGTCCTTGGGACCGGATGCCTACCAAGGTAGGTAAGTCAGGGGTAAGTGAGTTGCCTCGGTACGGCTCACCCCCAGCAATGTGGCTGGCTCAAAGGGATCAAATGAACACAATGCCATCCCGAAGCGTCAACCCAGATGCCGCTACGTAGTCGTAGAACTCCATATTATCCTCCATATTATCCCTTGGTAGGTACCAGGTCCTGATGCCAGGCGGGTACGCAAGTAAGTCAACTTGCCGATAGCGACGGGACAAACGCAGACCGGCATCGCGTCCCTGACTCTAGCTCCAACAGTACTATGACACTAGTGCTGTCCTTCAACTTATCTGTGATATAAAGACCAGAAGGATTGGTGTTCAACAAGGACGGTTAGGTTGGTGGTCATCAAAGATCCGCCATCCTGGACCTGAGCTTTCGGGGTATACTATGCCCCCATGCATCTCTCTTGTCTTGCTGGACTCTGAAGTTGGCACACATACTCCAGAAATTTTGCAGACGGAATCGGTTGCTGACTCTTGGGGGTTTTCTGAGTCTGTCTCCATGCGTACTGTGAGCATAGGTACGGATATATCCCCTCGTTGTCTTGTAGCGATACTGGACTGGCACCGTAGGGATCCCGCTTGGAGCAACAGCTCCTCTTCTACCAAGTAACTCCCGCCGAATCTCCATCTAAAAGACGCCCCTCCAAGTCTGCCTCTAGATGTTTTGATACCATCCCGCTATTCAACCTCCCGGATACTCATGCCTAGACCCTATCACCCCCGTTATATGCCCTCTGCACTTCTCCCCTGTGCATACCCCCCCTCCCCCCCCCAACCCCAATGCGAAAGCATACTTCTTCCTTCTGTCCATCACTGAGGCGACCTAACCTCCTCCATCCTCAAACACCCCCTAAACTCCTCAATGCTCACCGCCTTCTCCCTCAACTCTGCCTTCCCCCCTTCCGTTCCCCTCTCCCAGGTCCAAACCTCCTGCACACCCAGCCCCTGCAAGTAATCCAACCCCTTCCCATAGCAAGTCGCAACCTGCTCCACCCCATGACTATCATCCGAAAACGTAAACCGTCCCCCCATACCAATCCACTCCACCGCCACCGCTCTCGCCGGATATGGCTCCTCCAACCCCTTCCTCAGCGCACTGGTATTCACCTCAAGCCACCCCCCGTAGCGCTTGACTTCCCTCAGATTCCTCACCATCTTCTCCCACACCTCGGGCCAGTCACGCTGCACATCCTTGGCTGGACAGCTACTCATCAGCCGGATGAGGTCAAAGTGGCCCACCACTTTCGGTTCCAGCCCAGTGAGCATTCCGTATTGCTCATCATAGTACGTAGCCCACAGGTCGCGCTCAGAGCCGCAGTGGGATACGGCAGTGGCGTAGAAGGCCTTATCGTAGTCGATGGGGATGCCGGAGACGTGGTGCAGCGAGCCGAGGAAGTAGTCGACGCGCGGGTCCGAGGCAAGGGAGCGGATGAGGGGGAGGTACTCGGTGGGGCGGAGCCATTCGGACTCGAAACCGATGAGGATGTGGATTTGGGAGGCGTATTCGGATTGGAGGTGCGAGGCGTGGGAGAGGAACTCGGCGTGCAGGGGGGCGAGGGAGGCGAGGGTGGTGGAGGGGGAGGGTGTTAGCTGGAGGTGTTAGTGTTTGTTTGAGATGTATTTATTTTGGGGGAGGAGAAAAAGGGGCAAGGGGGGTACCTACCTCTTCGGGGTACAGGTCGTCGACAGAGGTGCGTGGCATGTGCTCAGTGAGGCCCATGGTTTTGTAGCCGACGCGGATAGCGTGCTGGATGATGTCCTCGAGTTGACCCTTTGCATGGCCGGGGCAGAATTGCCCCGAATGGGAGTGCATTGTGAATGCCATGGTGAGGAATGTGAGTAAGTGGTTAAGGTAGACTGCGCGGTAGACTGCGGAGCGTGGGTAAGCGCTGCGGCCAGCGCTGACTGTCAGTTGAGAAATGCGAGAAATGTCCAGAGATTGACGAATTGAGACGAAATGGCAAATATTTGGACACAAATTTGTGATACTTTCCGGTATGCCCGGTATCAAAGGGTTCGTGAGTGAGCTTGAGTTTATCTCAATGAGTCAAAAAAGTGGGTGCGATCTCGGGAGCACCACTGCAGGTTCAGCCCCCATCACCCATGCAGCTGGGCATCTTTATTTTGACAACAAACGCCCCTGGCATTTTGATGTAATTGAGTGATCCCAGATTGTTTTCGGACGGAATCTTGCGAAAGCTCGAGAGAAAGTTGGAAAACGGATGACAATGACAGTCGCACCTGCCGCCTGTGTTGGAGCTGAAGCGGGGCCTGTCATGATAAAGGGAATCTTCGCTTCTGCCTGCACCTGGCAGTTCGGAGATCGGTGTGGACAACGTTAAGTAGGTTCAAGAGGAAGAAGCAAGTCGGGCCAAGTTGGACTCCCAATCAAGTGGTCGCCAGATATGACGGAGCCAAGCTGAGGGAGAATGGAAGAGGTCAAGGCGAGAGTCATGGCTGGGAAGTGTTGCGGGAAGGGACGAGGTAGAGGAACCTAAACCGCACGGTGCTGGAAGATTTCATGCCTGTCATGGCAGACTCACTCACACGCCGTCGGAACTGAGATCGCGGAAGACGCGGATGCCCAACTTCACCAAGCTGAACAACACCTAATGGAGCCTCCGTATTTCGTGAGCGGAAAGCAAAACGACGGCCGAGATGGTATTGCAGTGCTGCGAATTATGCCACCTCAGTAGAACCCAACCCAGCCCGTTCATCCGCCCATCCATCCCATCTCCTTCACATCCACCGCGCCACGCCGTCCTTCCCTGAGAATATCCTCACCGAGACCCCCTGAGGCACCCTGATCCGCCCGCTCCCTTTGATGACCAAACACGGATAGCTGTCGCCGGGCCCGAAGAAATCCACCTGCTGACAGTTCCTGCAGTAGAGAATCTCCCCTTCGGGCGCCGAGAACTCATACAGCGAGCTCCGCCTCGCCGACTCGAAGAATCCCTCGGGTGTGTTGTTATCCAGGCTCTCCCAGAGCTCCGTCTGCAGCCAGCTTCCATGTTAGCGATCCACCAGTCCAAAAACCACCTGCCCTGCAGCAGAAGGGGGCCCGTCTCCACAAATATCTCCGTACCAATTGCTCAGCTAACCTTGCACGCGCTGGGTCAGCCATGAACTCGGCGATGCTCGCCTGTCGTTGCGAGTCTGCAGCCGCCATCGCGTAACTGCGGGGCAGGGTGTGATGCGATGCGATGCGATGCGTTTGCGAATGCGCTTTGCGCTTGTCTCGAGAAACAAAAGGAAAAAAACCGCAGCAGTCCGCCGGGCGTCAGTCAAGCGCTCTCACACAAAGACCCCAAAAAGGCGCCTCAACCAAAAAAGCTTTCTCAGAAACAAAAAAGCGACAGCGGCAACCAGGGCACGCTTAGGTCCGGCCTTCAACCCGCGCCCTTATAGGCGTGTGATCACGGTGGACCTCAGGTAAATTAGGTTTCGCGGGGAGGGGACTTGGGACAGGAAAAAGCGAATGAGGACTTCATGCAAAGATAGGTGATGCACATAGCGGACAGACAAAGGGGGGCCACCACCACCCCACCCCCGCCCATTTCCCCAAAAACCAGAAACGCGCAAAACTACCACCACCTCACCTCACCCCCAACCCGAAAACCCAAAAAGTCATGCCAAAAGGGCAAAACGATGGTGATGGGACTCGAACCCACAACTTCCGTCTAACAGAATGATTTCTATAGGAGGACGACACGCTACCATTGCGTCACACCACCTAAAGTTGTTGCAACCTTTCGGGTAAAGCTGCTCAAGTATTCTAGGCTAGTTTAGAATTCCAAAGCCCAAAATAGGGGCTTCCAAAAATGAACCAGATGGGTCGCTGCCAACCACGGAACAAACACAAAAGTTTCACCCGCATTACCTTAGAAACGCATGGCACATAATCTGCACAGAATCTGGTATTGCGAACGGGATGGCGTGACCTCCACTTGTATGGTTCCGAGTGATGACCACATGCTTGTGCTTCCATGCACCTCGAGGGGGTAAGGGGGGAGGAGTGAGCTGAACCGTCAAGGTACATCGCTTGCTTCCTTGCTTGGGGCACAGACCTGAATGTCCAACTACCTACCCACCTACCTATCTAGTCGACCTCCAACAAGCACTGGTGTGCACCTCACCTACTCACAGCTCAGGTCTTCTACCAGAGCAGCGACGCAAACAGTAACATACGACCATACCCATCGGAGAACTCGGGATCCCGTCTGCTCTCCCATCTAGTAGTTGGGTCGGTGACGACCAGCGTATCCTTGGTGTTGTATGCATTTTTGCTTCCTGCTTTGCCGGGATTTTTTTTTCTGCTTGCAGTCCATGTGAAGAAGCGATTTTGATAGTGTAGTGTTCATAGGTCTGACTTCCATCAAGGTTACAAAAAGGATTTACCCCTGACCGCTCCAAATCAGGGAGAAATCACTGTCCGAGGTTGTTTTATAATAGCATCCTCCCCCAGGAGTCGGAAAGCCTATCAGTGGTGACCGTCAGCAACGTTTTACGCTACCCTGCAAAGCCTCTTGTCAATCCAAAAACAACGTCTATTTGCACATCTACATCTACCACGCTGTAATATCATCAACCTCAGCCTCGCCAAACGTGCTGCTCTTCGTCAGCTGGCCCACCGCGCTCTCCACCACCACACCCTGGGTATCCTTGTCCATGATATCCGGCAGGGCTTCCCTCAAGAACCCAAGGATGTAACGGTTCACCTGCTCAAACTGCAGCAAAAACGCATCGTGACCCTCTGGGCTGTCTATCCGCTCCAGGCGCGCATTCTTGATGTGCTCCGCCAGTTCTTCCTGCTCAGCAAAGGTGAAGAGACCGTCGCTCTCGATACCGAGTACTAGCACCGGCTGCTCGATCAGGGCGAGGGCTTCTGCGACCGTGTCTGCGCGGCCTCGGCTCACGTCGTGTGTGTCGAGCTTGCGCGTCATGGCGATGTAGCAGTTGCTGTCAAACCTCTTGACGAACTTTGCGCCCTGGTAGCGCAGATAGGACTGCGCCGAGAAGTATGTCGACCCGGTGGGTATCACATCGCCGCCGGTCAAGCTCCCGCTTTGCGGGCCGTGAAACTGGGGGTCGGCTGCGTCGGAGCCTTTTGGTTGGGCTCCTTCGGTGGGAGTAGGGGTTTTCTTGATTTCGCCGCTGGTTCTGCGGGAGAGGGGCTCGCGGGACCACTTGTGGCCGTCGTTGTGGATGTGGAAATGCGCCTCCGAGGGCGTGGCTGGCGATGGTCTCTCCCGGATCGTCTGCCGGCGAGACGGATCCGGGATGTTTCGGCCGAAACGAGCCTCGAAGGAGTTTCGACTCCGGTAGGTCAACAGAGCCGACATCCGCGCCGCGCCAAGGCCCGTCGAGGGTGGGTCGGAGAAGGGGTAATACCCATCGTCATACTTGGGGTCCGCATAGATGGACTGACGCTGGGCTTCACCCCAGCTGATACCCCAGGCGCTGTGTCGACTCGAAGTGGCAATGGGCACGATGCACCGAACGTACTCCTTGCCAAAATACGCCCATTCGAGAACGAACATGCCGCCAAGGGAGCCGCCGATGACGGCAGCAACTTGCTTCACGCCCAACTCATCCAGGAGCAGCCGGTGAAGCCTGGGAACTGGTGGTGAGCGAGCCATGCATTGATCACGATACCGGGAGCCTAGGTACTCACTGGACATCGTCCCTGATGGTGGTTAGGGGAAACTCCGGGCCATACCGGCCCAGGTCCGGATTCCCGTCCTTAGCGGTGACGGGGCTCGCCGTGCCGTACGGGCTGCCCAAACTGTTCATGCAAACGATGAAGAACCGGGAAGTGTCGAATGCTCGGCCCGGCCCCCCGAGGAGAGGCCCCCACCAGTCAGAAACATCAGCACTGCCGGTCAAAGCATGGCAGATGACCATGCAGTTGTCGCCCTCTGACGAGAGCTGGCCGCGCGTGGTGTATGCGACTGGGACATTGCGAAGAGTCACGCCCGACTCGAGAGTGAAGGACGGGATGATGGCGATCTGCTGGTCTGGAATGAGAGCCGCGAACGGATTCTCAGGCTGGGATTGGATTCTTTCTTGGAAGTATTCAGTCACCGCTCTTTGTAGGATTGGTTTGGGGTTGGGGAGTCATCTTGGAGCAGTTGAGATTGAGGTGAGGGGCAGGGAGAGACGAGGGATCAGGATAAAAAAAAGGTGAGAGACGAAGGTGAAAAAAGACGCAAGGGTAGCGGGGCAGCGCTGGTGGTGAGAAGGGAAAACTGACCGTATTTTGGCTTTGCGTCGCCGCTGACAACACCGTTTGAGGCCATGGTGGAGGATCTCGCGGTTTGCGCTGCGCTTCGCTGCGTGGGAAGTCGAGGCGTTGTCGAAGTGGAATCCAGCAGACTGGAGCCCCCAGTGCCGCAATTTTGATAGTCTGAAACCAAACTCAGAGGAGTATGGACGAGAGGATGGTGTGATGTCTCTTCGATCTCGGCACCACCGTCGAAAAGCACATAGAACGTGTTGGATCTGCAAGCGTCGATGGCGCAATTCGCTAAGCATGCTCCATGGAGAGCGTGAGTAAGAGATACATGTTGAAAGTACCGATGTCGGGAATCGGTTCTGGGCCACCACTGCGCTGGGGTCCGGCAAGTGCAGCGGCGTCGGGTGCCTGAGTGGAGGCTGCTTGGACGGGCCGTTGCAACTGGTGGGACAGGGGTGCTGGCTCATCGCGGACCCACCTCTCAAAGCCCCACCAAACGGCCGTGGCCAGCCTCGCTTGGTGAGGCTGGCCCGCCAAGCTTGCGCAAACAAGCCAAGCTGGACGCGAGCCACTCCACCAGACAGCTCTTCCATTTCTTCACCTTCAACGCCATCAACACGCCAAACCTCAGCGAGCCGGCTCAACATCGACGGGAATCAATAGAGCCCCATCCGACAGTCGCTCTTTCCATCGCCAGCTTTCCGTTTCTTTACCGGTTCTGTTTCTTTCGGTCTTATCAACGTCAGTCTCTGCACCATTTCCAAGTTTTTTTCTGCTTCTTTGTCCCGGTCAGCACCACGCGACAGCATATGCACATCTTGCGCCCTCATCGCTGGCGATTGCCAACTCTAACATTTTCTGCTGCCAGGCCGATAATCTCTTACTGCTATCCTCCTCTGTTTCTTTCGATACGGCAATCGTAGGCTGCGAGCCGCATCGCCCATAAATGACACGGCGATCCGAGTAAGACGCATGCCATCATGCCTCCGACGAAGCGCAAGAGACCCGATCGCCCAAGCGAATCCGGCCCCTCTCGGCCTGCACCGCACAGACCTGGAGATACATCCCTAGGAAGACACGACGGCGGCTACGAAGGCGGAGGCCGCGGTCGCGGTCGAGGAGCCCCGCGAAGAAACGATCGTCGCGACTCCTCCCAGTCCTTTCACGCCGCACCACCACCAGCGGTTGCAGCGCCTGCCCCGATATCGCCGACTGTAGCGCGTCCTTCCAGCTCTTCGTCTGCTGCGCCAGCGGCACCCGTTAACGTGCAAGCAATGCCGACACCCGCCCCACCCTCTCCCCCGCCTTCGCCGGTCCAGCCAGGTTACTTCTACAGCGTCGTTACCGAAGACCGCGCTGACAGATGGAAGCAAGGTGCGCGACAGGAAGTGATCGATCATGGCATCCAGTCGCGCGATGATGAAGATCTCCTAGAGGTCACCACCATATTCCAGGAGCTCATTCTCTCGGTTACCGAAGGGAAGCTTCTCGGGGCGGATGCTGGCGGGGTAGTGAAGGAAATCTTGGGCCCCGAGCCCACAGAGGCAGAGCGGATGGCTATGGGCTTCGATCCGCACACGCTGTTTCTCGATACACTGTCGACCTTCATGGAGATCCAATCAAGCATCTATCGCCCACAGCTTGGGGAGATGGTCAAGGCAACAGGCGTCTCGCCAGCCCTCATGCGAATTGTCCTCGACGTTCCGATCCTGCAATCGCTCAACTTGGTCCGGGATGCCTTTCCGAGGATGGGTGTTCGACATGCAACAAACCTGCTTTACCGACAAGCAAACTACAACCTCTTACGAGAAGAGACGGAAGGCTACTCAAAGCTGATGACCGAGCTATTCACAACAAGCAGCTCGGGGCCGCCCTCATCAGAAGCAGTTCAAGATGCGTTCAAAAAGGTTATGGGCCTTATTGGGACTTTCGACCTTCATCCCGGCAGAGTCCTGGACGTCACCCTGGACGTCTTCGCCGCCATTTTGATCAAGCAGTTCCATTTCTTTGTCAAATTCCTGCGGGTCAGCTCCTGGTGGCCTCGTACAGAACCTCGTTTCCGAACTTCTCTTGGAGTGGATGTTGGCGGTCTGCCTGTATGGGCTCTCCCCAATCACTCCGGATGGACCACGACTGAGGAGGAAGAGGCAATTCTCGCTGCTGAGCGCCTGAAGCGTGACGTTGCGTTTTGGGACAGGGCGCGCCTGATCAAGTTGGATGCGTTCTTCGAGTTGGGTGGACGACAGCTTACCCCCGCAGAGGAGCAACGCCTAACGAACGGCGTCACGAGGGACGGAGAAGAAACCAGCATCGAGAAGGAGTGGATGAAGCTGACCAAGACTCTCCCGCCAACTGGCAATCGGGATGCGGCCCAGATGCTCGGATTCAAGCTACGATTCTACGCCTCCAACATTCGCGACAAGGATGATGTTCTGCCTGGGAATCTCCTCTATCTCATTGCGCTCCTGATCAAGATTGGTTTCGTCTCTATAACTGATC